ACATGAGAAAAAAGGTCGTTTGATTGAAACTTTTTAAATTTTGAAGAAAAAAATCAATTGCAAGATTTTGAAGAAAGAAGTTTTTAATAATATAATAACATAAGAAGTATAATAACATTGCAAGCAATTTTTTTGGAAACTATGAAAAATCGGGATGGCTTTTTGGGTGCTATGTACAACGTGTTGTAGCAATAAAAATGGCGGGCGAATTTTTATTATTGCTAAAAAGACATTTTTTTTAGCTACCTACATTTCATTTGGCGCCCCTCAGATATCTGCCGCCCGGGACAAACTGTCCCAGTGGCAAGAATATATATATAAGAATATATATATATATATATATATATATATATATATATATATATATATATATATATATATATATATATATATATATATATATATATATATATATATATATATATATATATATATATAATATATATATATATATATATATATATATATATATATATATATTCTTATAAAGGATTTTATAGCATTGTAAATAAATAAACCATAAATTACTTACAAGTCAAGTATCAGTTGATACTTGATTTGTAAGTAATTGGTTGTCATTTGAAGAAGTATTTTTTTTTAACAGCTTTTGGCTGTTAAAAAATACTTCTTCAAATGACAACCAATTACTTACAAGTCAAGTATCAACTGATACTTGACTTGTAAGTAATTAATGGTTTATTTATTTACAATGCTATAAAATCCTTTTCTTATGAATTGAATTTTCTAAAATTCACATTGTTTAGTGTTTCTCCTCGTTAAAAAGAACTATGGCGCTCTGTAAACGAGAGGCTGTACTAAAGTACAGGCTTGTGGAGCCGACTATTTACGGCTCGGCTCGACTTTTTTTTTACGGCTACGGCTCTTATCCGGCTACGGCTCGGCTCTGGCTCCGGAACTTTATGAACAAAAATCGCAAGTTTTGGATTTTTTTTAGATCACATATGCTAACCCAAAACTATACCAGTTACAGCAATTAAATTATTACCAACTCTTAAGGTTCTTGTATTACTACTCTACTACAGGATATTACATTTAAAAAGAATTTTTTTTTTGGGTAAATAAACACTTTTTCTATGTATTATTTACTCAAAACTAGAGTTTTTAGTTCAAATTTTAGTTCTAATTCTTACCCAGGGAGAACGCACCTAAAAAAGACGTCTTTTGACGTCTGTTTTAGAAACCGTGTTTAAAATACCTCTTTTGTATGTCCCATTCCCTTTGGGTAAAACATACGATCGTTAAATTCAAAATAATAAAAAGTTCAAAAAAAAAAAGAAAATAGTTCAAATAATGCAAAAATTACGAATAATATTTATTTTAATCTAAAAAACTTGAAGATTATAAAAATGCTTTTTATATTAATATTTTTCATTATTTCAAATAAATAAGCAAACATTACGCTAATCAACAACATCAACTTTTGCACAGTGTTTTTGGAAATTTTTTTTCTTATTAATGTCCACTCTCTAATCAAACCTTTAGCTGTATTTATTGTTCTGCCAATTTTACGCAAATATCCTTTGCCAATTTCCCAAAATTTCTTAATTGGATGGTTTGGACCCTCAATGGGACGGTGCAGTTTGATGGATTCACGGTTTTTGGTATGAATTTGATGTCTTTTGAATTGTACCACTCTTCTTAGAATAATGACAAGAATTAAGATTAGGCTAGAACCAAGAAGGGACCATGGCCTACTCTATACACGGCCGGATATGTTGCATAAATAGGCCGAAAATTAGAAGGCCAGTTTTTAGCATTTCGGTTATTTTTCATACTGCCAGTTAATATTGTTTAAATTTTATTTTGGAATATATTGATTAAGTTGGAAATTTTGTTTTGGATATAATGGTGAACAAATGTGCTGTTTTTAATTGTTGATACTGTTTTAGAAGAAAAATGGATGAAAATTGTTAACAGAAAAGATTGGAAGCCAAGCAAACATTCAGTTATATGCTTGGACCATTTTGAAAAAAAGTATTTAAAATATGGAAAACGAGTTACCTTAAAATATGAGCTAAACCCTGTTCCAACCATTTATTCTGATGAAATTTCTATTCCATCTTCTATAATACATAAAGTTCCTACTTTTCGTAAACCTCCAACTGACCGACATTCTACCATCCCAGATGAAATTCATACATTTCAAGAAATAGATAAATAAAAAACATTAATACGCTTCATGAGTCTTACTCTCCAAATGGATTTAGTTTTCAAAGATATAAAAGTTTTGTTTTATATTATCGTTTATTTTTTGTAGACACAACTCCATTTATTGAATCAATACGCATCGATAACAATTTGCACGTAAAGTTACATTACAAAAGTTCTCCACTTCCACTCCCTAAAAGGTTTGGAACAATTAACAATTGTAAGCTTACAAGTTTATCAATTTTAAATAGTTTGATGTCTTATATGCACAACCTTGTTGAAGAAAATTCATTTGGTTTAGTTAATGAACTATCAAATTTAATTTTTTACAAATCCAAAGGTCGTCCTCCATATTCTTCACAAGTATTACGTTTTGCACTTATGCAAAGATATTCATCATTTCAGGCTTATTCCCTTTTTTGAAACAACTCCCATTGCCATCAATGTCACTACTAAAGAAGTTAGTTTCTGGTAGAATCGATTCAATAAAATCATTAAAACTGTTATTAAATGAAGGAAAAATAAGCAATGAATGTGTTCTCCTTTTTGATGAAATGTATTTACAGCAATCTTGTGAATACCACAGTGGTAGATTAATTAGTCAAGATACTAGATAGGTAGATGAAATAAAAGAAAGTTTAAATACATTAAGATCTGCTGGTTTTAACATTGGTGCATTGATTGCTGATAGCCATACAACTAAAGTGTCAGCTTATTCAAAATTACTCAGCATTTATGGTTCAGATAAGCCAGAAGAAAGTTTTTGTATCACTTTTAATGGTCATATAATTTATTTGATGTATAATAGTGTACATTTGCTCAAAAACTTAAGAAATAATTTGATTAGTACCAAAAAGTTTATTTTCTTATCCTTTCAGTTCACTGTTTACATTTTTAATATAAAAGTCTCTGCAGGTGATATATCTTGGGGGTTGCTTCATAGAGAGCATGAAAAAGATGAAACTCTATCAGCAAACTTAATAAAAGCATCAAAACTAGGAGAAAAGACATTATATCCAGGTAACAATAAACAAGACGTCAACCTAGCATTGAATATATTCCATGAAACAACATCTGCACCAATTCAAAGTTATATTCCTAATGAATTTTCAACATCAGAATTTTTAAAATTTGTTAGTTTATGGTGGGTAATATCTAATATGTTCTTTATTGCTAAAAAGTGATCTCATTGATTTAAATACAGAATATATTGAACTACTATCCAGAGGAGGTCTCATAACTCCCTCAAAATTGCTTGCAAATCATGTTATTATTTGCTTTGCTATGCTTGATGCAGTAAAAAAAAGTTTACTTACAATAGAAATTCTTGACATCAGAAAAGTTAGCGAATATATTTTATATGAATATAACTTGAACCACAACTTTATTTGTGAGGATCATTTAAAGTGCTTTCTCTTGTTAATCAGACAGTAATAAATATTTTTTATAACAATGAACAAAAGATTTTAAGTAATGGAAAGCGCAAAGATGCTGTATTCTCTTTTAAAAGAAGACAAAAAGAAAAGAAAAAAAAAGAAATATAGTTTGTGTGTGTGTGTGTGTGTGTGTGTGTGTGTGTGTGTATGTGTGTGTGTATATCTATATATATATATATATCTATATATATATATATATATATATATATATATATATATATATATATATATATATATATATATATCTATATATATATATATATATATATATATATATATATATATATATATATATATATATATATATATATATATACATATATATATATAGAATTACTGGTATGTAGATATATAAAAAGATATATTTTGTATATGAAGTCTTGATGAAACTTTTGCCTGAAAATTTTTGCCTGAAATCTCTACGGTAAAAAAATGTGTATAAAAATAGTCATGTTCCTGATTTTAAATTTAAAATTTTAAGTTGTTCAAAAGAATTTGAAGTGAACTGCAAAAATCAAATAAACAAATTAAAAAAAAAAACTAGATGTTAATAATAAAATTAACCTAAACGTTTTTAAATAAGGAAAAACTAATACGAAAAGATATTTTACTATATAAATCTATTTAATTTAAATAATTATAATATATTTAATAACTTAAATTAAAAAACCTAGCAATTTAATTATATTTAAACCTATTTAAACTTAAATCCCGAAAACTTGTAATATTGAAAAACTGGCCTTCTAATTTTCGGCCTATTTATGCAACATATCCGGCCGTGTATAAAGTAGGCCATGAAGGGTCATATTTTGGGGACGTGAATTCAATAAAATTGCAAAAGTGGAAACTCACCTTAAAATATATGGTCCGTAATTCGAAGTTACAGAACTTCTCCTTATCATAAATACCGACAAAATCATATAAAATGATGTGATTATTTCAAAAGTCTTAAAAATACATACATAAATTGCGGTCTTTTACGACCGCAATTTATTGAAAACGGATTTTTTTTGTAATAAAACAACGAAAAAAATTTGATCAATACTACGGAGTTTTTTTACAGTGCATTACAGAAAAACTTCCCAAATATTCCCGATTGAGACAATGCCCTAATTGCGGAAACTGTGAAATATAATAAACCAATGCTTTTTTAAAAAACTTATAAATTTATTTGATTTACCGTAGATATAAATATACAAAAGCAAAAAACTAAGCAATAAAATTTACAAAATATCAATTATTTAAAAGTTAAAATATAAAAAAAATGGACGTAAAAATAACCTAAAAACTATTACACATACATTTACACAATTAATTAAAGCACTCGCAATTCATAAATACGCCCGATAAATCATATCGAATCGATAAACTAGTTGCGTAACATATAAAGTTTTGTTGATGCAACCACTACACTAAAACTTGTTTGTCTTGTGCTTATTCTAAAACAAGTTATTAAATACAAAATTATTATAAACAAAACAAATAATCTTTAAAGAATAACAACAACGAATTAAAATTTTCAACAGCTTTTAAATGTATAAATAAAAAAAATAAAAAAATACAAATTAAAAATCTTACTCTGTTGAATCGCCCTCTACTTTGTGGCCGGTTGTTACCACCTTTTATATTCGAGGAGACGCCACCTTTTGTCGGTGGCAGGACACGACCATCATTTTGCGGCAAAACGACTATTTTACCTTTTTGACTGCGATTAGAAAAGTTATTATTTCTGGTGCACATATAATAGTAAGTTCCTGCTGCATTTTTTAAGGAACGAGCACCTAAATCGAAGTACACTGAAGCATCATTTAGTAACGGATCGGAACTTACTCCGTCTATAAAAATAAATAACGCAACCAATTAAAATTATATATATATATATATATATATATATATATATATATATATATATATATATATATATATATATAATATATATAAATAAAATGTATATATATATAAAATATATATATATATATATATAAAATATATATATATATATATATATATATATATATATATATATATAAATAAAATGTATATATATATAAAATATATATATATATATATATATATATATATATATAAATAAAATGTATATATATATAAAATATATATATATATATAAAATATATATATATATATATATATATATATATATGTATGTATGTATATATATATATATATACATATATATATATATATATATATATATATATATATATAATATATATATATATATATATATATATATATATATATATATATATATATATATATATATATATATATATATATATAAATATATATATATATATAAATTAGGAAAAAATCACTTAACAAAATTTTTTTATTTTACACTGTGTTTCATCAATAAAGACTCATCAGAATTTCTGGTGAGTCTTTATTGATTAATGTAAAATGAAAAAAAATTTACCTGTTTTGTTAAGTGATTTTCTACTAATCTATAATTGCTTTGTTCTTTTAAGAACAGAGCAATTATAAATTGTTTAAATATATATATATATATATATATATATATATATATATATATATATATATATATAATATATATATATATATATGTATATATATATATATATATATATATATATATATATATATATATATATATATATATATATATATGTATATATATATATATATATATATATATATATATGTATATATATATATATATATATATATATATATGTATATATATATATATATATATATATATATATATATATATATATATATATATATATATATATATATATTTCTTTATACATACACACATACATGCTTATGTTAACATGAAATAACGTACTGGGATTAGAAAAAGCTAATTGTTTGACATCATTCAAATCAAAACCTAAAAAACTTTTTGATGTGTTTAAAAGCATGGGATAATTATTTCCGTAATGACCAATGACAGGTAATTGCTGTTGCTTTTGCTTGCGGTGCCTGTCGCGTTGCTTGTTGTCTTGCCTCTGTTGTTTCCTATTTGGGAAGTTTTTATCTTTTAATAAAATAATGTTTGAACGATCAGTTCCAGCTGTGCCTTGTCCAGCATTATTTAATGGATTTGTATTAGATCCAGTCCACCTAAAAAAAAAGCAAAGCAATAAATATAGTGAGGATCGTACCGAAAATTATGTTAAGTTCATAGTTTTTAGTTCAAAAAATATGTTTAACATAAATTAGTTCTACATAAATAAACTATTATTTTCATAAATATCATACAAAACATCTATTTTTTTTTTTGTTATTTGTTAATTCTTATTTCTTCTTCTTTGTTATATTATTAAACTAAAACCCATATAGTTAAAACTTCAACAATCAATTTCATTCAGAAAAATGTAAAAACTTTCAAGAAAAAATTGTTAACAAAAACATTTTTAGCAATTTTCATAGCTAAAATGTGTTCAACAAAGTTCACGTAATACACCAAAATTTGTTTATAAAATAAATTAGTGTGTTAGCTTTCAGTAATCTCCAACCCCATTTCGTTTAATTATACTTTATTAGTATGCCATTCTTAAAAATGGCGACCAAGGAAAGTTTAAAACCTCTCTATTTAAGGGGTCTTGCAAACTTTACAAAGTAGATCCTTAATAAATTTCATTATTTATATCAAAAGAGTGACCAAGCTAATGAAAATATAATAATAATAATAGTAATAATAATAACAATAAAAATAATAGTAATAATAATAATAGCAATAATAATAATGATAACTTCTAATTATATTTATAATGGTAATAATACTACAATAATTTATACAACAGTGTCTCAAATTTTAACCATTTTAATGAGTACATAATAATAGAAATACTATTATGAGTACAATACTGTTTCCATGATACACTGAGTATTGAACTTTTAAAATCAACCTTCATTGAAAAAAATCAGCTATATATAATCTAAAGACAGATGTTTGGGATAAATCATACATTAAACTTAGCTTAATAGCATTATAACAAAATGTTTATTGTGGCAAGAAGTTTCTGAGAGAAATCAAATAACTAATTATTTGTGATAAAATAAAAACTCTCTACATATCTTGATAAAATTTTAAAGTTACGTTATGTCTCAAATGGTTATCATTGGTAACAAGGTTATAACCTCTTATTTTTAATTAAATTTTATTTGAATAAACTTGATTTTGCAGTAAATGTTTGTTTACCATTGACATACTGCTATTTTTCTTGTTTTATTTTTTTTTTTATAGTAAATAATAAATAAAATAGCTTTGTCTTAATTGGTTACTAAAAAAAAAAAAAATTATAATTACTGTATGTGTATAGCATCTGAAGCTGATAGAGTGAGACGACTAGGAACAAAATCATATTCAACTGCTGGATATACTTGAACAATATTTCCTCGTTTTCCACGAACATTTAGGTTGTATATATTAGTTCTTTTAAGCTCAGCAGGGCGTGGTCTGATTGCAAATTTATGACTCCTAAAACAAAATAACTTTTTACTTTTCAAAATGTTTTTTATTTCGAAAACAGAATGTTAGAATGGAAGATACTTTTCTCCATCTTACTTTAAATATAAAAAAAAATATTCATAACTTAGAAATAAAGAAGAAGAGATAACTGGGGAAATATGCGGTAGTGGTGTAGTGGTAGAGCGCTCGCTTCATAAACGAGTGGTTCCGAGTTCGATCCCCACCACGTCCCTGGTAGTATCGCGCTCAACTCATTTCTCCGCGCAGCGGTCTTGTTCGTCAAGGTTCGTGTTTCGGAGTTATAGAGTTGAGAGAGGGTTATAGCCACAAATAAGTAGCCTCCTCGTCTGTAGTGGCCTTCTCGGCCTTGAGGAGGTGAATTAAAATAAAAAAAAAATTGGTTCAAAATCTATTAATAATGCTACTTTTAAAGATATTTTTATTGTCTTCAGTTGGCTGAAGACTATAAAATGTTAAACTAATTAATCTATAAGCAATGATTGCAGCAGTGATTATTAAAATACAATAATGTAAAATGTAATTATAATTGTAATTTTAGTAGTGATTATATAAATACTTAAGAAACTCCAATAAGTATTTACCACAAATTCAAGCAATATTTTTGTTAAAATATTTTTCCAACATACAAATATATCATGAAAAAAAGAGTCACCAACTTGCAGAAAATGACAGTGGAAAGTTTGGAAACAATATTCTTTGAAAGAACTATCTGAAAATCTGTCACAAAAAGATTTGTGGAGAAAAGCATCCATTGCTACTGTGTCACAAACGATTCATTAAAATTTGTTTAAATGTTTCTTGATTACAATCAAAAGTAAAGAAATATTAACAAAGTCATTTAATAAAACAAAACATAAAGAAAAATTGAAATTAAAACATTTCAAAATCATGCAGAAATAACTTTATTTGATGATATGGCATTCAAGTGCATTGATGTTTCTAAATGTATATTGGAAAAAGTAAAAAAGGTACCAGAGGTAGTAGAGGTAACACATTACTTGTAATAAGGAACGCACTTGTAATGAGAAACAAACTTGTAATACTACAAGCATTGAAGTTCAAGCTCATTAAGCAGATTTCAGAATTCTTTATTTTCTGATGAAACTGTGATTTTGAATTCTGGCTCATACTCAAACTATTTAGAAACAAAAATGAAACAGAGTAGACTAAACTGAACAAATGAGATCATAGTACAGGAACCAGGTTCAAAGTATTTGGGGCATGTAATGACTGCATCAGGACATGGATACAGCATTAAGATAAGTAACAGGATATTTTTAACTCAAAGGAACATCAATAAATTCAAATCTGTTGCCATTCTAAAACTTGATAGACCTACATTAGGACCTAACAGATAGTCCTAATGGTATATAAAATGCACCAAAAATGCTAGACATTTATGGGTGACCATTAATTTATCCACGTGTGTTAGTAATGACTTAAAAACTTTCATTGATCCAGTAATACAAAAAAATGCCTTTTATGCGCATCTGGAAAACATGCTTTTGCTATAATATTAGCTACGTGCCCACATGTTTGGCATTACAATAAATAATAAAAGCAAGGTTTATAAAATCAAAGTTTGAAAGTTTTTTAAACAATCAATTTTGAAACAAAATATTACATATCCTTAATTGATTGGCAAAAATGTGAACTCAATGATTACCCTTTGATTACCCTCACATTACAGGCAAATTTCTAATAGAAATGTTAACAAATGCTTATCTTCCAGATTTTCATACCATACTCATGAATAGAGAGATGCAGCAAACTTGTTACCAAGGCTTCAGATTAAGTTTGTTGTATAGCTAATAAAGATGGTATCATTTGTGATAGATTTGACATCATAAACAATAATACTTTTGTTCAATAGAAAAAATTAAAATAAAAAAAATTGAATAATGTAATAGCTAAAGTTTAAACATAGAGTAACACTTTCCTTTTTTTTGTTTGGCAAAAACTCATGAAATAGTGTTTGTTTAAAAAAACCCAGCCCTCTAGTGGCCGCTGAATACATTAATACAGTGAAGAAAATAGAATTAGCTTCATCATGTTCTAATCCAATATTTTTTAAATCTGTAAGCAAATTTGTGCGATGAATATTTGCATCCACACATATATAACAATTGCTACAAACAACAACTTTTTAGATAACAATATAGCATAATTAAATTGCGATACACTTGTGCGTTTATGACTTAATTTTTATTATTATTTGTAAGTTAAATAAAGACTGCGAAATCAGTGCTCATAAAGTTTTAAACATTTGGATTTTGATGTCTGAACTTGAAATGGGACATAATCAAAGCGATCACAAATCAAAAGACAGGCTTATCTAATTGGGAAATTGCAAAAAAAAATTAAAAGATCCCTAAAAGTGGTTTATTACTTCGTAATTACTTCAAGGTGTTAATTATGATGTTTATAAGGGAAGTGGCAGCAAACATTGATAGTTGTGCTAAACGAGCTATTGTTCATCGTGCTGCTGCTCAGCACATGGCTGCATCTCAAATTCATGCTGATTCACAATTATCTGTAAACTGTTCAACGTGTGAGACAAATCTTGCATGAAGATCCAAAAACAGTTTAGAAAAAGCATAAACCAAAACCAAAACATACTCTTTTTTATAAAGAAGCTAGATTACAATTTTCAAAAGAACACATGCCTTTGCAGGAAGAGTGGCATTAAAATTTCTTTAGTGATGAAAAAAAGTTCAACCTAGATGGTCCTGATAGCTATCAATATTAATGGTGCATCTTTGAAAAGGAAAAAAAAACTCGAAAAAAATCATATTTTTGTCATATTTTTGGTGGTGGAACTGTTATGGTTTGGGGGCTTTTTCCTTTGCTGGGAAACTTCCACTGTCATGGATTTCAACAAAAACGAATTTACAGGACTATAATGACTTATTAGAAATTAGTTTGCCTGAAAATGCTGAAGAATTGATGGGTGAAAATTTCACCTTTCAACAAGACAATGGTGTTATTCATAATTCAAACTTTACAAAAGCTTGGTTTAAAGGAAAATATATTCATGGAATGGAATGACTTGCATGCAGTCCAGATCTAAACCCAATTGAAAATCTATGGGGAATACTTTCTAGAAAGGTTTATGAAAATGGTAAGCAATTATAATCCACATTGGAGCTGAAAACTTATATCAGAGAAGCTTGGAATGAAATATCTATAGAAACTATACAAAATCTTGTGACTAGCATGTCAAGTTGCATATTTGAAGTCATTAAAAATTCAGGAAGCAATACTTAATATTAAATGAGCATAAAAACAAAATATTTTTTGTCAAATATTGCAGTCAAATGCGGATTTTCTAACAACTGTTTTATCATAATTTCAATAGGATTTAATATGCTGATAAAAGTTTTATACTTTGTTGAGAAAATATCCAAAAAAAAAAGATCCAAAAGCTCACTTTCGACAAATCAAGATTTACTAAGTTGACAATTTTTAAAGCCTGTTTACACAGAAAATATTTGTTTATATTGGTGACTGAAAAAAAATTTTTTAAATAAAGTCTATTTTCACTGATTTTTTTTAGTTTTGAGATTAAATTTTTTTGCTGATATCAAGTAAAAATTAATAAACAGGGGGGCAAGGTTCTTAATAAGCTAGGGGGGTTCCAAAAATTAATAAATGCCCACCCCCTTGTACTAAGAACTGGAAAGTGATTATCTGAAAAAAAATGATTGTATAGTTTTTTTACTCAATCGTCATAAAAATTATAATTAAAAAAATAAATTTTGATTTCATTTTTAATAAACTATTTTATTATTATTGTGGTTAGTGCTGTTGATTTTTTGTTTATTTGTCTAATTTATTTAAGAGTAATCACTCCATTGACTAATTTATTTAACTATTTGAGTGAAACCAAATCTGATTTTGTAAGAATTGCAATTTTATTTGTAATGTTTAAATAACTGAATAAGAAAAAGTTTTTGTTTTTTTAATATAAGTTATGAAGTAAAAGTTGCAACAAAAGATTTTTTACATGGCCACAACAATGCACACCAAAAGGACAAGGGGACATTGACAATGTAGCAACAGGGACATTGACAATGTAGCAACTGAATGCATTTGTATTGTTGCAGTTACTTACTAATGAAAAACTTAAAACGTAATTTTTTATGTCACAAAAGGAACCATATATATATGCATATAAAAATATAGAAATATATATATATATATATATATATATATATATATATATATATATATATATATATATGCATCTATATATATATATATATATATATATATATATATATATATATATATATATATATATATATATATATATATATATATATATATATATATATATATATATATATATATATATATATATATATATATATATATATATATATATATTAGTAAAAACACTTTTCCAATTTTTTTCTTGTTTCTCAACAACTTGTTTCTCCACCACTAGGTACTTCAGGAAGATACTTCCTGTTGTTGAAGAAAAAAAATGGATACATTTTTTTACTAATTTACTGTTGCTGTTTTCTTTAAGAACATTGAGCACTCAATATAAAGCATACTTGTAAAAGACACTAACATAAATAAATAAATCAAATTACCTATCTTGAAATGTTCTACCATATTGAGCAGTATTAATAGCTAGTCGTAGTTGCAACTTTCCATCTAAAGTAGGATTGCCTGTTTTCAATGGTTGGATAACAGGGTTGTTCTTAAAAACATAACCTCTATTAGTGGCTTCTGTATCTGAAAGTCCAACTAAAGCGCCAATCGATGCTGAGGAAGCTTAAAAAAAGTAAACTTTTTAAATTTAGTTCAAAAGAATTTAATGATTTCATTTATCAAATTTAATTTAAATATTGAAAGTGTCAGGGACTTAATATTATCATGAATAGAAGAGATCAATAGAAACTTTTATATTATGATAAAAGTAAACAACTTTAGAGTCCTGGAGTCGAACATTGACGGGATAAACTAGTTATAAATGCTGATCCTCATCGAAACGCCAGTAATAATAGACGCGACTCTGAGGAGATGTTTATTACTTATCACTACACTAATTATGTTTACACATTAGCATTAATGTTTTTTTTTCCATTATTAGTCCTTTCATTGTCGTTAGCATATTTTTAATTTGTTGAATAGTTTTTTGTTTTACAAATTTTTGACTGGTTATGTATTTCTTGTATATTTTAGTTCATATTGGTAATTATAAAACAATTTTTTTTTTTTTTTTAATTTTTTATATATATATATTTATTATCATTATTTGTTATTATTTGTTTTTAATTTTAATTTTTTTTAATTTTTTTTTTTATTGTTATTATGGTTGAGTACTGTTTTGGTTGTATAGCTTGTCTTATTTATTTTTAAATATTCCTCTATTAATCTTTATTTTTATCTTGACAACTGTCAAAATATGCTTTGTCTAATAAATAATTCTCCTTTATTCTAATGTACTTCATTTCTTCCCTCAGGCGCTTACTGCTCGTGTGTGACCATTCGGCGAATTTTATATGCCAAAGTTTTTAAATGATATTATCATGAATAGAATAGAAACTTTTATATTATGATAAAAGTAAACAACTTTAGAGTCCTGGAGTCGAACGTTTGGTCACAAAGTTTCTAGATTTTAATTAAAGATTGCAGGTTCAAGAATGATCAAATTTTTTTAAATCCTAAAATTTAAAGCAAGTTGAAAAATTTAAGACACCAGAACTATCCACTACAGTATAATTTTAAAGCACTCAAATTATTTTTATTGCAAAAAATTCTGATGTACTGCTAAACAATATTTTATAATGTTAAGTAGAAAAAATATTTTTTTTGTATATATAAATATATTTTAATCTTAATTGCAACTATGATATCCTAAACAAAGTTATAGTTTAAAACATCAATTTTTACAGCTTTAAACAGTAGAATAGAAAAAGGTTTAAAGCAAAAAAAGCATTAATTAAAAAAAAGTAAGCTAATACCAATACTTTATTGTTAATTAATATATAATTACATTTAACTCTTTTTATTGTGTCTAAATCAATTTTTATAATACTTAATATTAAAAAATTTAAAAATAAAATATTCTTTAACATTAATTTATTTTATAACATGTTGATGAGGCAATCTTTGTCTCATCAAGTGATTTATAAAAGATCTAGATAAGTATTTTGTACTTTTAAGCAAAAAATTTTATTGTGCAGCAATCACTTTAGCAAAATAATGGAAAAAAAAAGTCTCTTTCAACCTACAATTCTTACTATTTTTAACATATCAAATCGAATTCCATTTGTCAGTCACTTATGGAAACTCATCCAGTTCCAGTAAAATATTATTTTTATTTACTTGAAAAGTATACATGGATTTTGTTGATAAAGCACTTATATGGATTTTTTTAACCATTACTTGAACCATCTAAGCATGAAATTATGTATTAAACAAATTCACCTGCGTGAATTTTAAAAAATATCAATAAATTAATCAATCTGCTTAAAACTTATTGCTGTAGGGTACAGGGAAACATTGACAATCCAATTAGGTTATCCTATTTCAATAAATGTTTGCTCTAACAAAATTTGCTACATTAAAATAAAGAAACAAATATATATCCTAAGACACTTTTCTAGTCAAGATGCAACAACAACAACAACAACAACAAAACTAATGCTTTAATATGAAGTTTTAACGTTTTCAATACAGAGTCGATTATTTGCTACATATGAAATAAACTTTTTAATCAAAAACAGAATGTGACACAACAAGTGGCACAATGGTTGTAATGTATAGGACTGCAATACCAATAATATTATCAAACATTAAACAGAACTATAGTAAATAAACAAATTAGAAAATGTGTCAAAGTTATTCCAGTGTCAAAATTTAAAATTGTAAATGGAACATATTTTATAAAGAAAAAAAGAAAAAAGTAAAACACAAAAACTATAAAAAATTAATAAAAAAAAACTTACTGCTAGCAAATTTTGACAAGTCACCAGTTGAAATGTTGTAACGAAGACGCAATACACAATTCTCATTGATATCATTTGGTATTGTCCAATTGTATGTGTTACCGAATCCTCCTAGTCCATTTCCATTATGATTATCTCGAGATTTAGGTGATTGAATGCAATCTGGCCTGGGTAATCTCTTTTTTATTTCTTTCCATTTCGCAAATTTTCCAGAGCCCTGTGGCCAATCAAATTTCTAATGGGATATAGAAAGTGTGACTTAATCTAATATAAACAAACATTCTACAAAGTTAGTATAAAATTTTGATCATTTATTATTCTATTTTAAACAAAATTCAGGAAGAGATTTTAATTATGTAGGTGTGAATTATAAGATTGTGATAAGTAGTAATGAAAAGCCAGATTCCACAACCTATTCTATAGTTTATGATGATATTCCACGTGTTATTCTCTATCATTACATAACACATGCGATACATACATATATACTTTATGGTTAAAAGCAGTTTTTTTTAAACATATTTCAAATTTAAAAAATTGATGTTAAATTCCAATTTAAAGTTTTATAGTTAATTCCAGGTGTTATTTCCTATGGCTACTTATTGTCTATATTTACGACTACTTTCCTATATTTTCCTAATGTTACATAGACTTTTTTCTAAAAATGTTTTGAAAATTATATAGTTCACAAAAAGAAAAAACTTTAGGAGTCCTAAAACCCTTTATTTTTAAATTGAATTCCAAGTATCCCTAATTATTATTTCAAATAAAGGCAACAAATTCAAAAATAATTGGTTTCAGGATTTCTTTAAATCATTTAGTTTTTTCCTTATAGATTTTTAAAGTTTCCAAATGTGCATTATTTTTGGAGTTCTGAGACAATATTAAACTTTTGACTCAAAACTCAAGAGTCTTTTTGGGGCATTTACTCTTATGATATAGCACAGAAATGAAAATATTTTTATTTTTGGGCCCCCTAAGCAAGCATATGACATTTACTGTTGTTTATTTACAACAATATATATACCTCACAAGCTTCTTTTGTAATTGGTAAGTTCACCGAAACATCAGAGTCACCAATATAACCAGGAGCATCACAGTAAAACCTTGATTTCACATTCTCACTTTCTTGCTGGTAGAAACGACAACGTCTGACATCATTTGTCATCACCGCAATATCCTATAAAAAATATATTTGCAAGCTATTTATCATTGTTATAAGTAGTTTAACAGTCGTGCTATATAGTGTTAAATGTAATTTATCTAAACTTCAGAATAGAATAGTGAAAGGTAAAGTATATTTAATCTTATAGGGAATGGTTTAAAAAGTGTTTAAAATAATTATAGGTTGATTGTCTGCCAAGATTTAAACGAGAAGAGTAATCAAAGATATATTTGAAGGAATGTTTAATGAAAAGAATTAAGAATAAAAAAATATTAAAATAGATATGATTTTAAAATTTCCAGATGTAATAGGATTAAATGTCCATGAAACTTTATTTATAATAAAAGAAAAATAAACAAAAAGAATTAGATTAGTAGTACAAATTTCAAAAAGACATATGAAGAATAAAACATTTTTCCATATTAAAACTAATTTTTTATTTATTAATTGTAGAGTTTGGAAATTAAAAACAGTTGAAATAACTGAAAATACAAAAAAGTTTTAGTTGGACTAACAATAGTGTATGATCCTTTGTGTTCAAAAAAAAATTAAATCATCTAGATTTTTTTATCTTATATCTGTGCTTTGGAATTGCACATTGCATTTTTTCTTTACTCATTAGCTCCTGTTTATGAAACTTTACAAGTTTTACAAACACATTATTTCAAACATTGTTTTTTTTGTTTATTTAGCAAAATAAATTTAAATTTATAAAAAAAAATTCATTAAAATCTAACTTAAATTAAAAAATGTTTTCAGATTTTTGATAAATGGTTGAGAATCATTGAAAAAGAAACCTTGGAACATGTAAATTAAAAGATATTCAACAAAAAATGGAAGAAATATTAATTAAATAACAAACCTTCCAAGGTGTAGGCCTCCAATAGGGATAGTAGTCTCGCTCTTCTGGACATTCATATCCATAACGAGTACCTCCACTATTTTGACGAGTATACTGTGAAGTGTCTCCGCCCAAATTCTTAAGTATTCAAAATAGATATTTGATCTCTAGTAATTTAAAAGATTTACTACAATTACCAAAATAAATACTTAAAAGAAGAATAAAAAATAAACTATGAAATAAAAGGATATTAAACAAATAATAAAGCATTCCATTTTAATACCCTTTAAAAACCTTGTTTTTCTGACCTCAAACACTTTTTAATTGGCATTGTTCTATATATATATATATATATATATATATATATATATATATATATATATATATATATATATATATATATATATATATATATATATATATATATATATATATATATATATATATATGTATATATATATATATATATATATATATATATATATATATATATATATATATATATATATGTATGTATGTATGTATGTATGTATGTATATATATATATATATATATATATATATATATATATATATATATATATATATATATATATATATATATATGTATGTATATATATATATATATATATATATATATTTTTATTAATTAAATATTAATCAAAACACTGTTAGGAAAAACATATATATATATATATATGTTTTTCCTAACAGTGTTTTGATTGTTGTTAGATAATTTATGCTAATAAATGCTTTGCTCAAATATGCTTAGAGCATATCATAAAATTAATTTTAATTCCTGAAACCATGGTAATTTATTATAAAATAATTGAATTACTCTTTACAACAGCTATTTCTTACATCTTACAGAAGATATTAGAAAAAATGATATACCTGATCAGCTACAAACAACCCTCTGTTTCTCAGGGTTTTTGTGCATCCCCAGAAGTAGTATTTATAATCTTCATGCATACCATACCTATGCATAAAAAAGTTTATAAAGACTCTAAGAAAGAAAAACAAAATTGCATTAAATTTTGCAATTTTTCAATCAAATAAAAAGAGAAAAAAATAGTTGTAAAAAAGAACAATGTAAAAACCTAATTTTTCAATTAAATAATTAAATAATTTTCAATACAAATTTTCAACACGAAAGAAATCTTTTTTTTTTCAACACGAAAGAATTTTTTTTTTTCAACACAAAAGAACTTTTTTTTTCAACACGAATGAACTTTTTTTTTTGGTACTTATGCCTTTAAGAAATATTACTTATTAACATAGATAAATATTAACCATTGAATAACCGAAAGTTTTTTTTCTGATTAGCAGAAATTTAATGTTTTAGTAATCTTGAGCTTAACGTTGACTAATAATGCTACAAAAAGTTGACTAAAAATTTTTAAAAATGAATTAAATATTAATAATACTAAACATTAAATTTAAAATGTTTTAAACATTATTGGAATTGATGTAATCAATTCAAGCAGCTTCAATAGTTTTGCCATTGAAAAGTTACTATACAAGATCTGCATTAATATCCTTAAAAAGATCCTTGCTGACTCATGCCATCCTATAACCAATAAATTAGCTAACACTAACACCAGAAACCCAAACAGATTTCCATTTGGTTTAAACACTGCAAAGCCACCACCTATTCTTTATTTGAAAATATCTCTGTATTCTTTGTGATGGCGTCAGCAAACTCTACCTGCCACTAATCATTGGGAGTTCATCTGCCTTTTCCATACATAATGTTTGCATGCAATTTTGGCAATCTGCTTTTTATTATTTAATGATGGATAAAATTGCGCAATTCATTAATTGTAATGCTATTCAATTTAAATAAAGATTTATATTAAAAAAAAAATCATAGCTCAATTTTTTTTTTCTTTTTGAAGCCTTTTTTAAATTTACTCATAGCCTCTTAAATGCCTAAAATAGTTTGATAACAGTAACTATTTTCAAGATTTACCATTTAGTGAAAATTTACCATAATAGATGCAAATATTGAACTAACTGCAAGAGTTAAGAGTACATGATTAGCACGAATCCTGATAATGTCAACCAAGCTGACCCAAAAACGCCACTTATATAGGGTGATACAGAAGTTACACAACTTACACATCAAAGTACCCTGTGATGAAATTTTGAAATCTTTTAGTTTTTCCGTGGAAATTTGTTTAACTTGAATTTTCAAATTAAGTGAAATTTTAATATTATATTGCAACAATAAAAACACAAGTAGGATGAAAACCACCATATATAATTTGATAAAAATTGGTGTAAATTTAGCATATCGACACATTAAAATCTGGATAACATTTCAGTAAAATTGGTTTACTGGTTAAGGATTTATGGCTGTTTTAGTTTATATTTTGTTAGTTTTTTGCTACTTGGACCTCAAAACATTACCACTTACTCAATCACTATTTTTAAAATAAAGGTTATATAAGTATTCTACTATGTAACATCAAATATTTTATTATGATTATTTTATTGCTAAATGTACCATTTTCTATCTACAGACAAAAATACTGATTTGCCATTTGAAGCGTGCTTTTAATTGGTTTATGTATATCATAAGCATCCTCTATATTTACTGATGTATAAACTCCTGCCAAAATGCAAAAAAAAAAAGGCTAAAAAAAATGCAAAACCAGGCAAAAGGCTATTAGTTGGTAAAAAAAATATATATATTTATGTTAAAAGAATTTTAATAGCCCTCAAAACCTTCTTAAATATATTGGATTTCAAAATAAAATGAAAAATAACTATATAAACCTTATTAACCTTAAACATTATACGACCATCAAATAGCATTTGTTTCAGTTGTTAGACATGGTCTTTGATTTTCTCCACAAGAAATTTATTCAAAATTAATTATTCAAGCTTTGTATGCTTTTTCTATCAAATACATTTTTAAGAAGCGTCCAACATTCCCCCAAACTGGCCTCCATGATACGGGCTCAGTTAAATGTGGAGGGCAGCTGACTACTTAACAACTTCTATGCAAGCAGTTTTAAGTATCTTAAAAAGATGATTGAACTCTTTTAAAGAGATGCAAACACATTGGAAGGATTTTTTTCAAAATCAGAACATAGTCAGGCCCACTGATGATTGGCTTTTAGATGACCAAACAACTTTGCATAAAAACCTGGCCATATTGTTGATAAGACTCAAGGCTAGATTTGATTGAGCCCAGTATTTGTAAGTTTCCAGATTTGGCAAGACACTTGGATTTGACATCACACTATGTACAAGGGTGCATACTTGAATGGGTTTGAAGACCACAGATTATATTTGCAACTTTCATATGGCAAGCCAAAAATTAGTTTGACTCCATTTGCATTAATTAGTGACCAGATTTGTTTAATGCTGGAGTGAATTTCTGGCAAATCTTCTAATACCACAGCAAGGTTTTTCTTCCTGTGAGTAAACAGTTGTTTTTGAGACATTGAGCTGGTATCAACCATTAACGCAGTATCAACAAAGCTTAGACAAAACTTGAGAAAACCCTTACCATTATCAATTATGAGCTGAACAAAATATATGCCAGAAATTTTGCGAGATCATATAACATGATTTACAAAAATTGATAAAACATTGGAATGACCAATTTTGGAGCGCTTGATAGTGGCTTGGCATTACTTTGACTTGAAACCAAAACATACATAATTTATCTTTATATTAAACTTTGTTCAGATTTAAACTTTGTTTTATCTTTATATTAAACTTTGCTCAAGTTTGTTTAAAACTTTCAAATTATTCGTTTTAAAGTGATTAGAAACTTGTTTTTTTTTAAAGATTTTCTTTGAATATATATGTAAAAATTATTTAAATATAAATAAGGTGCTTTAGCAAGTCAAATAGTTCTTTCAGGGGATAATTCTTTATTTGAAATAACTTGAGATGCAATACATTTGACTGCTCTGGCATCTTTTGCTGTTAAAGGTTTTACCTGAACTCTATTTACCTGAACTCTATACTGTTAAAGGTTTTACCTGAACTCTATTTACCTGAACTCTATACTGTTAAAGGTTTTACCTGAACTCTATTCTCTAGGGGATTGGAGGGGCAAACCTTTTCCTAAATGGCAACAGTTTGTGTTGCAACATACATATGGTTCTTTCTCAATGCTAGTTTGCTCTTCAAGAGGATGTTTTTCTTGCAGCCTTGAATGACCAATTTGGCAGATTATGCAATAACACATCATGCTGCTTGTTTTAGGTCTAACTTGTATTGAATTGAAATTAAACAAAGGAGGGAGTATAACATTTTTTCCTCACTTGTTTTTTGTGCAAAATTTTTATACATGATTACAGAGTCCTTGTGGTACCCAAAAATTACTATTATTGATCTTGGTTTTGAACAGTTTGCATATTCGATGTGCTTGGAAAGCAGTAAGCGGTCTTAAACATTTTTTCAGAAAAATTATGTACACAAATATTTGATTTTTATTGTGAACTTTTGCTTGATTTGGCATTTGACAATTCACTAAATCAAACTTTACTAAATCAAACTATCCTATTTACAAAATTTAACCTGAATTTATATTGGTTAAAAATCCATTAACATACTTAGATGAAATTTTGTTTAATGATACATCCTTATGAAAGATTTTTACTTCTCTTCAAAAGACTGTTCTCATTTTCATAAGATTTTTCTCTGAATGGCCCTCCAAACATTTATTTTTTCAATTATTTTAGTTACCTTATCTAAATTTTTGTATTAAATTTTTTTATAAAAAAACTAAATACTAAATTTTTTACTAAATTTACTAAATTTTTATGTAAGTATCTTTATAAGAGCTTTTCAACCATTTTCATGCCTTTTGACAGTAGTTTATACATTAGAAAATGCTGATATTTTCCAGCACTGCAGAAACCATGCGTTGGCATTACAGAGTCAAACACTCATTTACCATTATTTTGTAACCAAAAATTGTTGGTATTACATAGTAGAACACTCATGCAACCATTATTTTGAAAATAGTGACCAAATATCACAGTAATCTGCAATGCTTTTAGGTAAAAGTAACAAAAACCTAAAAAAATATAAATTAAAACTGCCTCAAATCCTTAACCAGTTAACCAATCCGGCTAAAATTTTATCCAGAGTTTGGTGCACCCATATACTACATTTTTATCAATTTATATGAAGTGGTTCTCATTTTACAAGTAATTTTATTGTTGCACTATAAAATCAAAACTTTACTTAATCTGAACATCTAAATTAAATTATTTTCTGGACACAAAATAAAAAGATTTCAAAATTTGCATCACATGGTACCTTGATGTGTACGCTGTTATCCCATATAAGTGGCATTTTTGGGTCAGCTAGGTTGGCATTATTAAGATATGTGCTAACCATGACTATACTCTCAGAAACTTTTTTTGGTGATGAATAAATTAAACAAAAAAGCTATTAGAAAAATGTAAAGAAGCTAAATACTAATACTAAAGCAGGAAATAAAAAATAAAAAATCTTCTATAGACCATAAAAATAATAAGATAATTATGTTAAAATTACTTCAACCTTTAATCTTTTGTGGGTTGATACATAAAAAATTAAAAACGCACAAAATTTTTTATAATAAATAAAAAATCTTGTACATGATGAGTTTTTATCTTGTTGACTCAAAAAGATGGTTATGAACAGATTGTAAAAGTATTACTTATTTCTAAATGTTTATAAAACAATTTTCAACAAAATTCAACTCTAAGCATTAGACTTTAGTTTAAAGGGTATGAGCAAAGCTTTTCTTGTTTTTAATATATACAGTATATACTCATACACATACATATTTTTAGATAAATCTTAATTCATTATTAAAAAAATAATTACTTAAGGTTAGTGTCACAATCCTTAATTGCACAACCATTTTCATATGAAGGAATTGTACTAAAAAAAAAATTTAAAATAAATTAAAAAAAAATTTTTTTCCAGCAAGCTTACATCACTCACAAAAAAATGTTTACATCACTTACAAAAATAGTTTAACAACTCAAATCAAATTATTTCTGTAAAAATGATGCTCTATTAGAGTTATTTTAATATGATTCCTAGTAAACTACAATATATTAAATCTCGATTTTAATGAACCTATATTTTATAATGTAATATAAAATTTTTTATTTTAGGCTCATATATTTTTATCATATTCTCAAACTCTTAAGTAGAGTGCATAAAATGTGTTTCAGACGTCTTAAATATGTTATCATGCTTTTAAGACATTCAAAACACTTCTTATAGGTATATTTTTAATATACCCTAATATAATATCAAATGAAAGCTAATAAATAAAATTACTAGTGAATTACTAAAAATTTTCATAGAAAGCTTTTGTTAATATAAATTTTCTAAACCTTCACTAAAAAAATTTGAAAAAGCTTTCATGCTTCTAAATGTAATGAAGCTACTCAAACTTGAAAAATAATTACTAACAGCCAAAATAAATGATAAAATTAAGTTTAATAAATTACTAAATGTCCCAATTAGAATAAGCTCATATAAAAATAAAGAAACATGTCAAAAAATAAAAAAATTATGTGATCAGTTTTTTTTTTTATTTTATAAAAATTTATAATAAAATCAATAAAAAAGTCCGTCAAAAACATCACAATATATACAAGTAAGTTATCGAATTGATTGTTCTGTGTGCAAAAAGAAAATGTGTTAAATACAACACAATGTTTTATTTTATACTTTATATATTTTTTTGGCTCAAAATGTTAATAAAGCAATAAGAGCAGCTTCACCAAGATTTTTTTATGTTATATAATATAATATAATGTTAGAAAATATATAAAAATTGTTTAGAAACAATAAACTATGTAGCAACCATGGCACTACCTGAAGGGTGATATTGATGTTTTATTGTTTTTTGAAGGTTTTATTTTAAGATTATAAAATAAAAAATTAAATAAAATAATTTTTTAAAATTATAAAATAAAAGATACAATAAAAAGAACATTTTAAAATTATAAAATAAAAAATTTTCCTTTAACTTTATATATATTTGTTACTGTTTTAAATCAAGCAATAAATGTATCTTTTAAATTGAAATAAATATTAAATTACATTAATTTAAAAATTACAAATAATTACTCAGTTGTAGTGCCATCTCTTAGAGTATTACTGCACATGTACTGTATAATAATATCACAATTGGCATTAGATTCACCGCAAGAATGTTGATTAGTCCACTCAATTTGGAGTTGTGATCCCTCAAGATAGTACAAGTTTCCAACATTATACCCTCCACGATTGTTGTTTTGAGAATTAAACAACCTAAATATATTATATATATATATATATATATATATATATATATATATATATATATATATATATATATATATATATATATATATATATATATATATATATATATATATATATATATATATATATATATATATATATATATATATATATATATACACATAACTCAATTTGGGGGGGGGGATGGTCTAGCACTTTTAGGGGACCCTAGAAAGTAATTTAGGATTCCTTTTGGAGCGGGTTTTTTTTTAGTAATACCTAGGGGAAAAATTTCTGTATGACTTACCGATTTGGATTATTACGCTCTCTTCCATTCTCATCAAGCCTGTTATTGCTACCCCTAATAAAAAAAATAATTCGAATTCTATTTAATTCATGTAAAAAAAAAAAATTCACATAAAAAAATATTTATCTCTAATCACAATAACAAGTTTTTTCTGGTTATTGTTAAATAATAGATTAACATGACATCTGCTTTACTTAAGTAATTATCACTTAGTTAAATAACCTGATCGGTAAAATTTTATTTTGATGTTTTATACCGTAGCAAAAAAGATCAGACGAATTATTAACTTAAAGTGAGAACTCCGAGTTCAAAATATTTGTAAGGGAGAGAGGACAATATTACATTTTAAGAAAACTCTACTATTATGAACGCAACTATAATTTCTTTATATTGTTCTTATTTAGTATTTAATGTGACATCTTATGATTAAATATTTTAAAACCATTGATATCAAGGTATCATTATTTATATATGAATCATTAATATCAATGATTTGGTAAAATTTATTTAACTGAGTTAAAGCAATATTAAACAATAAATATTTTTAATATTTGTTTTACTGTAAACATTTATTTGTATTCTCTATTTATAAAGATTATTTCTAAAATATTTTCCCCTCCTCCTAGTTGGTAACTGAACGCAGTAAATAAGAATAACCTACTACAATTCAAATCAATTATATGACAAAATGGACTATAAAAGTTGTAGCCAAGATTTGGTAATTAAGCTTGTAAAAAATGAGATATGAATTTAGAAAACTAAATATTGGTGAAAGGGCTAAAAATTTTGAAACTTCTCTAAATCTATTGATTTCATTCACATGATGTGATGTTTTAATGCGATTAACAACTACACAATTCATTAATAGTATTCAAGAAAGTGTAAAACAGTAGTTCAAACTAAAACCATTTTAAATAAAAACTTCTGCAATAAATAGATGAATGATCCAAACTTGGTGTCAGCAAGTAAAAAAGTAAAATTATAGTGGAGCAAATTTAAATCAATCAAAAATCTTGAAATGAATAAAAACAAGTTCCTTAAACAATACAGAATTTATAAAAAACTAAAAAATATCAAAACCTACTAATTGAAGACATCACATTTTACATTTTAAATGAAAAATCAACTGCTGATAAATACAATAAATTTTTCATTCAGAGAATTCAAGAAAATATTGAAAAATATTGAAAAATCAATCATAGAATTAAACAATTATACAGCTGTGTGTCATATTTTAGTGGTGTACCAAAAAGGTTTTGAATTATGGACATTAAACAATTATGTGAAATAAACATTAATAAACTGTAACCAATATTGAGCTTAAAATCATGTGAAATAAACACTTTTTATTTTAAAAGATCTTCACTTCCAACAAAACTGCAAGCATCCGCTATTAGAGTTAGAAGTTACTGGAAGAGAAAAGATGAAGTTTTTAAAGCAAGATAACAACTTAAACAATTTCAAAATATAAAATATTGGAAGTAAAAATTAATCCTAGAAAACAAAGCCACTGAGATCCATATAAAGCTTAAATGCCCCCTCCAAAGCAATCTGAGAGTTATGGCTTCTTATCAAGAAAAGACTAAATGGTAACAAAAAATGCCATCTTATATGTGAGAAATTCTAGGAGATTGTTAATGTAAATTAAAAAAGTATAGGGCCAATGATTTAAGCAACTTCGATTTAACTAATGACATATACAATTTTCAACATATTTTAAAGAAAATTTGGCATTAAAAAATAACTCTATCGAAACAACAATTCAACTAGCCATTTTAAAATAAAGAACAGCATTAGATCGCAATTTATTCATTATTAGAGTTTTGCTAGACTTAAAATAATTAATAGAGAAATATGAGTTGAGAAAACACCTTTTGAGTGACTTACGAATCCTGGATTTTTTATTCGAACTATTCGAACTGATCTTCGTGAAAATACATATAAGGAGTTAAACAACTTCATCGCAAGTGAGAAAAGACCTAAAAAAATTTGCTTGCTGCTACAACTAAATAAAATTGCGCATTAAATACCATAAGCTACAAGCACCTAAAAAAAAGAGTATACAAATTAACATGTTGGGGAAAAATTATTGGCAACTTCCAAAATTGAAGTAACATTGAAACCAGAAAAAAAAAATGTAAAAACTGAAGTTATAGAAAATTTTTAGTTATAATTTTTAGAAGTTATAGATAATTTTTAGATTATATTTTAGAAGTTATAATTAATATTTTGATAGACTACACAAATTTATTAGAGATAGCAACATAATCATTTTCAGTGATGAGGAAAATGATACTGATGTAACAAACTGTCTAAGTAAAATAAATCTGATTGAGATATTTTCAGATATATAAAACAATGAATAGCTATCTGACAATGTTATAAATATATTTCCAAACACGATGAAAGACCGATTCCAAAGTCTTGGAATCCCGGTCAGCAGAAGATAGTATGGCTGAAAATGAGGTTTTGAGTTTTTTAAAAAAAAAAAGACCAGATATCATACTGTTTTTGTGAGAAATATAAGAGTGCTGCAGTAGTGACTGATTTATACCAGCCCCAACCCAAACCCTCAGTCGATGTACCAGCATCCTCTTGCATGTTCTGTCAATGTAGCAGCGCTCCCTTACATGTTCTCAGTATATCAATAATATGCTTGGTATGCGTTTTTTGTAAGCTAAAACCAAGCCGAAACAAACACGTCTTTTAGGCGTATTTTTAATATCAAAACAGTGGTGGAGCAAAAAAATGCTCAGTGTCTTTTTTAAATGCCCGATAAACAATTTGGATAATAGGAAACAACCATCATGGTAAAGTGATACTTCTATATACCTCAAAAATCAATCCAGACAAAAACAAGTTTCAGACGGTCAAGCTCACCATTCTTAATAATTATATTACTTTTGATACAAATGATTATAATAATTATTAGTCATCTGTGTTATCGGAAAAATAAATATTTTTTGCCAGCGAAATTGTTTTTCAACTTTTTTTGCCCTTATCTTAAAAAAGTCTGGCCACTCCTGATCTAAAACATTGAAGCCTTTTAGATATCTAAATTCAGAAAGCTAAAAGTTAACTTAGAGTAGCCATCTTTGAGATGTCAAATATTTGAAGTTAAATTTTTTTGTTGTCTCAAAGATGACTACTATTAGATTTCTTATAGTTTTCTAAATTTAGACTTCTAAAAAATGTTAACATTTTAGATTTTAAAAAGACATGTTTGTGCTGCCTGGAAAAACCTCATTTTGAACCATACTATCTTCTGCTTACCTGGAATCTTGTGAAAAATCGGAAAAATATAAACAAATGACGCAGTCTAATTGATGTAAACAGTGGTTCCACAGAATGTGTGGAAAGGTTCTTGATATTTTCTTTTTTTTTAAACTACCGTAGATTACCATAGTTTTTTTATTGTTGTGCAAGTAAAGATTCATAACCATTTTATTAAATATGTATTAAATAATACTATTCTTTACAATAAAACAGAGTTTTCTTTTGATTTCAACGGCCTTATTTATTATATTTTAGATCTCATAAAGATATTTATAAATTTATTTTTGAGTTTTTAAACAAATCCACTCATTCAATACTGTATCCTCATTGATAAAAATTAAAAATATTCAATACTAACCTTAACATTGGTTGTTAAGGTTAACGTTGACATTTGTACGGAACTCCTTCTGTACAAATGTCGCTTGTTGGGCTGAGCTGGCGTCGATCCTCGAACCCATGGCTTCTGAGCCAGAACTCTAACCATTGCGCTACGGATTTTAAGCACATTTTTTTAGGAGGGAAAGAGGGCCTCTGACCCACTTGCCAGGTTTATTTCCGAAATACTTTAAATACTAAAAGTACAAATCTTACACTAGAAATCAAAAGTACAGCGCTAGATTTATATCAAAAATATAAGTCTTGGAGTAAAAGTACAACGCTAGCATTGATTTTGAAAACGAGGCATATTATTGACTTCTACTTTATATTGCTAACCAGTAAAAAGCTCTATTGCATTTGAACTAATCCATAGTTAAGTTTAACGGCCCGAAGATGAGTCACGGTTAATATTGTACCAACAGTTAATTCCCATAAATTACGCAACCACTAAATTTCACATAAACAAAACAATCAAAAGTTTTCTCTCTAAACAACAAAAAGATCAAAAGTTTTCTCTCTTAGAGGCTTAAGTTAAATAAAAAATCAAAACAGCTCATTAAATTTATTAAAACCATCACGTAAAAGAGCTTAAGATCTCCTACTTCTTTTATTAAAATAAATTTAGCGTTGCGTAGTTTATGATCGATCCCTGGGTCGAACACCAGTTAGCTCAAACTTTTATTACCTCAAGTTTGCTTAACGAAGTTGGAGTATCTAAGCCGAACCTTGGGTAGCTTGAACTTCGTTAAGCAAAACCATTTCTTTATCTCCTTTCTTCGAATTTTTTCCGATAACTCGTACTTTTTGTATGGGAATTAAAAAATGTTGACATAATTGAAGTTTTTTTTTTAAAAAAGGAAGTCATTTCATATATAATACAAATAACAGTAGCCTTATAATTTCTTTACGTTTTTGTTGAAATTAGATGTAAATAGAATAGATCATTGTCCGACGTAAAATAATACTATAAATACTATTAATATTAAAATTGTTAAAAAGTGAAATTCATAGCCTACTTAAAGGCGGATTCCCACTTACAGGAAATTTTCCGCGGAACGGAAAGGAAAAGAAAATCACCCAATCATGTAGCATAAAAAGTGCGTATCAAAAATTTTTTTGTTACATGATTGGATGATTTTCTTTTCCTTTCCATTCCGCGGAAAATTTCCTGTGAGTGGAAATCCGCCTTAAATTACATTGTAATTACAAATGTAAAATAAAATTAAAAAAAAAACCTATAAAATAAATAATTTTTTTTTTAAATAAATAAAAATGAATGAAAATTGTTTTTCAATATATGAACTTTTAAAACTTGCGTAAATCTAAACAAAGATATTTAAGGTAAAGTTTAAAAAGGAATACACAGGCATTAAATACACAGAAATTAAATACACAGCCATTAAATATACAGGCATTAAATACACAGGCATTAGATGTTTTTGGTTTTTTATATATTTTAAGAATGTTCATTTAGAAATAAACCGGTAAAAAAATTTTTATTGTTATACTAATTAATAAATTTTGTTCTTGTTTAAATAGGCGAGCCTTAAATGATAGAGTAATAATTTATTACTTGTTTAGTAATAAAAATAATAATAATAATAAAAAATAGTAATAAAAACCATAATCAACAAACAATACTTTGAATACTGAGTGTTTATAATTTTTGATTTTTTTTTTAATTTTTATATTTATTTGAAAAGAATATAATTTTATCTAGTTGTATTAACTGTGGGGCATAGTATCAAGATTAAACGACACAGTAACAACCTGTCTTAATAGGAATATAACTTAAGCTAATGTGTCTTTCTGTAAATCATAAAATTAAAAATTGTACCTTGGATTGTGCAAATATACATCTGATTGTACCAGTGCACATAGCATTAACATCTGCAGCCTGAAAATCATTCTATTGATTTTGTTCTTTTTCCTATAAATGTTTTTTTTTTTTTTGACAACTACTTTTATGACAACGCAGCTTATATTCACTGAACCACCTTAGACTCTTTTACCTTATATACAAATGTAGAGGATTACAGATATGTATACGGAATTTTAATTCAATTAAAAACGTGCAGATAATGTACAGCAGGATTTTCATGCGTGGTAACAAGTAAAGAGGATCTTTTATTATTTGTCTAAACTGGTGTGGGTGTTTTATTCAATAATTATATTATCTCTTTTTATTTTATTTATTGCCTTTATAAGAAATTATGCAACAACTGCCTAGTTTTGTATGCAAAAAGTTTTAACAAGATAAACAATTTTAAAATAAAGTTCTATTAATTTAGCATTATTGCGAATAGGCTCAAAAGTTCAAATAACGAGATTAAAAAGGATGAATACAAAGAAGAATTAAAAAGTTTTTTATTGTTCAAAAGATGATCTTGACATTTTAAACTTTGTCTCACATTTGTATTTGATGTTGCTTGCATCTTCTTTTTTTTCTTCCTATTTCTTTGTTTACATTTTATGTTGTTTGCTTTTTTCTTTTTCGTAATTATTTTTTTATGTTGTTTATTTGATTTATTATTTTCTTCTATTTCATTTATACAACAATTATCAATTTCATTCAAATAATACATAAAAAATCAAGAAATTTGTTTTCTTAAGTTTTTTTACAAGTCATTTATATAAAAAGTGAAAACGAAATTGAAATTTTTGGTAAATAAAGTTTTGACAACAACCAGTCACGTCACTGACAACAACATGCGAAGATTTTCTTTGGAGTGAACATTTTGCTTAAAAATTTGTACTAAAAACAAAAGGAACAAAAAAACCACTTTGAACTAACCTGGGAAAACTGCAGCTGATTAAAATACAATGTGTAAAGGCTCCGAATCGGATAAATCAAAGGTTTTATACCAAGGCACCATTTATGTTTTATTTAAATCACCTAAGTAAGCGTTTAAACATCTTTAACTTATATTATATATATTTTATTCTGTAAAGGTGTTGTTATTTTATTAATTTCAAAATAAATTAAAAAATTTATACAAAATCAATCCAATATTAAACTGAATCTGTTTGAAATACATTTACTTTTCTTTTATTTATTTCTACCTATATTATGCAAATATTGCTTCGTGGAGCACAAATGCAACTAAAATTATTATTTTTTTTTACATTTATTTTATTTTGCTGTTTATATAAATTACACTATTCTTTCACAAAAAATAAAGTTAAACTGCAAATATATAAATAATGAACAGATAGGGGCTCAAAGAAGATATGGACGGCAAAATTCCAACCTTATCTTTTCATAGAGCATCTAAAATTAGTAAAACGCTTCGTAAACAAAGTATCGGACCTAAATTATTAATCATGCTATCGACTCAAAAGTTAAAATTATTAATAATAAAGAAAATATATAATGAGTTTTAACTCATTATAATAAAATTGTCTTTTATTCCACATAAGGCAATTTTTAATGCACACACAAATCCGATTAAGCTTATAAATATAAAATAAAATTAAAATACACGCGCACTAAAAATGACATTTACTTAATATTGTCATTTATATTCACATTAATACGGTCAGCTACGTTGACGCCCGCAAGTTTTGTAAAATATCAAATTTAAAACATAAAAACTTTGATATGTGGACTCATTTTTATTATATTCTATGGATACTCTGTTATTATATATATATGTTTGTATTTGTATTTGTATTTTGTATTTATTAGAACAGATAATATACATGTTCTAAAGGAAACGCAGGTCCAATATTGATGGACATTAACAGCGTGCCCACCCAAAAAAAAATTGAATAAATAATTTATCAATGTTATTATACATATATATATATATATATATATATATATATATATATATATATATATATATATATATATATATATATATATATATATATATATATATATGTATATATATATATATATATATATATATATATATATATATATATATATATATATATATATATATATATATATATATATATATATATATTTCTCGTTGGTTTTGTTTTAAAATGTAAAAATATTTCTCTGAAACAGCAAGGCTTAGTTGATGCCAAATAGCAACTCTAGGGTGTACAAGCTTACGTAATCGTGTGAAAGAATTTATATTGAGGAAACAAAAAAAATAATTCAAAAAAGAGAACACCAATCTAGTAGCATGAATGGTAACTAGCATGCTTTTAGATTGAACATTGCAAAAATTTCAAGGCTATTCAACTGGCTGCACCCAAAAACGTTATTTATAAATAACAACTATCATAAAATAATAATGAGGGAAACGCTTGTAATTAAAGGCGAGTTTCCACTTTCCTATCCCGTTCCCGTGAAAAATAGGATGAGTGGAAACTCACCTTAACTATGCACAAACATTTCAGAAGGTCAAACAATCCCCGTTTCAAATTTTTATTTTCTTTATGTCGTTCTTGTAATAATCGCTATGGTTTTTAATATTTTATTTTGTTACAGTTTTTCATTGGCATTTTACGTCTGAAGACAGTCTGTACAAATCAGACTGAAATATAACTTAGTTAGTTCACAGTTGATTTTATTTTTTATAATTTATTAAAAATTTACGTACAACAAATAATGTCGCAAAAACACTTGATAAAATCTTTTAGACTTAATTATAAAACAGAGAGCTGGATACTACTTAATAACGTTTTAATCATATTTATTACTACTAATAGTTTATCTTTATTAAATGTGTTTTCAAAAATTTGAGCTTAAATTTTTTCGTAGATAACTTAAAGATCCGTTATTTACATTCAATAAGCATCTAAGTTTTAAACTTAATTTAATTCAATCGTGTCTTTGACATCTATCCAAGAGACGCGTTTTATACATCTTATGTTCATTCTTAAAGTGTATATTCAGCATTTTTTATGCTTCTAAAACCTTTCAAATTTATATGTACTTATATAATCATTTAGCGTCAATTAAAATACATCTTTAAGATATCAATATAATAAACGCACGTTTAACGATCATATTATTTCTAAACCTATGTATTTTTAAATCAGTTTAGAAACGCATTTGAGATGTATTTATGATTTCTTTTTGTTTGTTGAGATTGTTTGCTGAGATACTACTTATAGAAAAGCATGGAATCGGCAATCAAACATTTTCATTTCACTATCATATTACTTATTCATTTTCATATTATAATTTTAAATTGTACATTTTTACTTACTTACTATAGGTTATTTTAGATACTAAAGGTTATTTTAGATAAATTACTATTTTGGTAACTTATCTAAAACGACCATGTCTAAAACGCTAATATATATAACTATCGAATAAATACAGATTTGTCATTAGCTACAACGGTACAACATTAATAATAATAATTTCCTTAGCTAAACATTGTGCTATGTATGCACACAATTACTTTTTAGCTAGTAATATCGATTATCTATACCTACGGTATATCTGTAGCTACATATTTTAACTTTGTTGCTGGCTACTACATAACGACAATTCTATAGATACTAGGTAGCTATAGCCACCTATCGCAATAGTAATAATATAGGATTTTCGGCAGGCGATTTTAAAACAAAATTTAATAGCTGTAATCATAGCTTTGGAGCTAGCTAAAACAAACATCTAAATGTACTATCTACATACCTACCATCCGAGCTATATCGTAATATATCGTGATATTACTAGCTGCAAAGCTGAAATATGTAGTCATTGGCTAGCAATAAATACAGATAAACTGTAAAAATACACTGCAGCTAGTTTTGTTGTAGTTAGCTGCAGTGCTTCAATATGTAGCTAACAAAATGTCGTGATAATATTAATAGTTACATAGCTGCGATATGTAGATAGCAACATATTGTAGTAAAATTGCATTTTTAAAAGTTCAATTATTATCATAAATATATTATTTAGAGAAAAAAAATTTGCTCAAATATCTCCACAAAGTCAGGTAGTCGCTCATTTTACACAGAGAAAAAGGCGCTTAACCACTAGTGATTGCAATTCAATGTGGGTGGAAATAAACAAAAACTACAATGATACCCCACGCTTTGTATAGATTACCTTCTGCCTCAATAAAGCAATTGGAAAATCATATAAATAACTTAATTAGAAAAAATTCAAACAAAAGTAAAGTCGTTTATTTAATTGACTGATTATGACCTCTACATAAATATGAGTCATTCAAATCAAAAACTTTTTCATATCATCAAACATTTCATTAATTATTAAACCCACAAGATTAACTAGAGAAAGCGCAATAGCCGTAGGTCATATAGTCTTTAACGAATTCACTTGAATAATACAAACAAGAATATTTAATTACAACAATTTTGACAACTTTTCCACATTTATTATCTCACAAAGTGCGATAATATCTATACAAACAAAATCAAAAAAACTACTCAACAAATCAATGAAGAATCTGTAGAAAATTTAATTACACTTCTTTCTGGAATGACCTTCTTGATAATTTTAACACAGTAAATTGTATATTATATAAATTTATAATTTTTCAATAAATTTCAACAACTTTATACTTCTTCATTACAAAATGTTGTGTTTATAATACTATATTAAAAAATATATACAAAATGTGTGAAATAAAAGTCGTTAAATCTAATAATCAAAAGGCATTAATGAAATCTGGAACTTCTCAACAAAAAAAGAGGAGATTTTATTTAAAAATCTAAATATATTACTATATGATAATATGTATATATATTATGTATACATATATAATATATTACTATATTATAATATGATATACTATATAACAATAATGATGAAAAATAATAAAAATGGTCATTAAAATATTTTAGTTTCAAAGTACTTTATAACCAAGCGCTATTAAAAAAGGTTTAGTTTATAAAATACGTCACCCCATTTTTGTCAATTTTGAACCATTTTCTGCTGGAATATGATTCATTAAATTAAATTGTTTTCTTGCCATGAAACTGTTGAAGGATCACTGTAGCTGAAGAAGGTTGTTGCAGTTAGAACCCTTATTAACTTGACGTTACTTTTAGATTAACTCAATT